AAAGTCACATTTCACCATGCGGCCCTAGCATTAGTCCATATTGACACGAATCAGGTGAGCACATTTCACACTGCAGTATATCTTATCAAGGAGTGTTTTCGGGTTTTGATAATTCTTCATGGGCAAAACATGCTACTTGCTACAGTCTTGTAGCTCTTGAGGTAAATAAGCATCCAGGGAAAGGCAGCAGTGAGTTCCCTGACTGGACAGAAAGTACCTTTGAGACAGTCTTGTGTGGAAATTTGGGGTTTAGTTTGATATCTGTCTTCTCTTATGGCTATGAAGCACTATGGCACGTGACTAGAATGTAACCATTTGGTTACAGAAATAGTTATGAATGGCTCCTATTCTTTTTTTCTTTAAGTTCTAGTGCAAGGTCAGTGGGAGAGGACCAGGGAGAAAGTTGTCTGATGACCTTCAGATTTCTGGATTTTGGAGTTTCTTTTGCCTGAAGAGATCCACTTCATTCTGAAAGCTCCATGATGACATGTCTTAATGTGCCTTGTTACAGCTTCAATTTGAAATGTTGGTGAGGGCAGAGTACTTGATACCATTTCTTCTCTGAAGTATACTCTCTTGGACTCTTAGTTCTGTTTTTCAGTCATTTTGGGGGACTGTTTACGATTATTAAGTTAAAGGTGTCCAAGTGAAAATCTTGCATGTAAGTCTGCAGACAAGAAGGAAGTTGCCTTCCGTGTCCACTCAACTCTTGAAATGCTTATGATGATAGAATTGGATGTTCTTGATGAAAGTCAGCAAGGTGTCAGCTTGGTGCTACTGGATCTTATTGACCAAGATACTTGGTGTCATACTCCAAAATGGAGATGTACTTGTCTCGTTTAGTCCATCTGTCCTACATGCCATGAGGCCTTAGCTTTTATTGGCTTCACCTCTCTTTTCCCACGTCCAGGAGTCTTTCAGTAGTAGTTGCTTGCTAGCTGTAGTTAGGAAGATGAAAACTATTTGAACTATTTGACTTGATTTAAATAGTAAGTGGAATCTCAGATGAAGCCATGTCTGTCTCATGATTTTTATGAATTTTAGGTAGTGATCCTGAATTCTTGCATCTCGCTCTCAGTTGAAACACTGGTGTTTCAGTGGTATGTATTAAAAAATGCCCTTCCTTAGTTGTATAGAGCTTCTCTATGCCACTTCTGTATGCCTCATGACAAAGCTCGCTTTTAAATACAAGCTGTGGTTCCTCTAATTAAATCAACAGGGCTCCTTACCCATCTCTCTGCCAAACTGAACTGTTTCTCTTTGCATCTTTCTTCAAAGCTGCAGTATTTCTGGAAGAATAGACCTTTGGGGAAGGCATTTGCATCCACTGTTTCTTTTTTCTTTTTTTTTTTAAAAAGCAAGCAAACCAACAAAAGCATTACAGGATTTAGCATTTAATTCAGCTTCTGTTTAAAAGCTTTGCCATGGTCCAGTTGCTAGGCTGGAGAGCTGAGCAGTGTGTCTGAGCAGAAACACTCCACTTGGACTGCCAGAATTGCTGCTGGTGAAGTAGAATTAGATTTTGAAAGTATTTAAAGCTTGGACTTCGTCTTTATTCTCTTTGTAGATGGTCCTCTACACATAGCCCTAAGGAGTACCCCATATAGAGATGAAAAAATAGAAAAGAGAAGAACTTCAACTCCTGTAAGTGCATTAAATAGTCATCGTCATTCTGTTAGAGAACAAACCAAGGACCACATAGTGAGATCACTGCGGAAGCCTCAAGAAAAAAAAAGAGTTGAAAATGGTACGCCTTTTTAGTTTAACATGGAAAAGTTAAATTTGAGAAAGTTTTGGAAAAGTTATTTAAGTATTGTAAGGAACTGATAATTTTGATAGAAAGTGTTCTGTATACCTTCTTTTAGAGTTTAAATTTTTATGAATGTACAGTATAAAATGCAAGCAGTGTTTTTTCACTGTTTCTTTGCAGTATTTTCAAATGAAGATGCAATATAGGGAATTTTATAAGTTTTCTTGCTATATGCATTGGCGTTTATTCCAAATCAATGTGTAATATTTTCAACATGGAAAAAGGGCATGAAAAGATTCTTGTTAATTTCTTGCTTGTTTGAGATGTGTCTTAATTTTATTAAACTCTTGGTTGTCCAAAGCATTAAATATTTTAAGTAATCCTGAACTTGTTGAGACACCTAAACTTCATAAAAAAAAAGTGAGAGGTGGGGGGCGGGAGGCAGGACAACCTAGTCTTTTCTTCTGTATGTTTTTTATTTTTAATGGCATTTGATGGCTTCTGGTAGTCAGTACTCCTTGCTACTAAACATCTCTCAACAACTTTACTTCACGACTTTGTTCAGTGGTATAGAGTAAACCCTGTTTATACTGGAACATACTATAGTGTGTATGGGTAACAGCCATGCAGAGGGACAGGAGTGTGTATGTATACATACACAGATATATATAAAAATAACTTATATTTAAATATTTTTTTATATAAAAATAATATATGATTGATTTCCAGCATACTTCTAGATTTACTGTGTTACCACTCTCCTTCAGATATATGGTCAGAATTTGAGTCACAGTGATGAGAAAAAACAAAAAATCTGTGCTTTGACTATTTTAGCTGTGACAGGTGACCTTTTTTCTGGAGACAGTCTTGAGAAGATCACCTTACTTGCCTGTCACTGTACTGTTCTGTTGGTCAGAGCAGTCAGTCAGAACTGACCGCCTCTGTTTGTTCTGGGGCATCCTTTGCTGCCTTCTCCTGTGGGAAAGTCTGACCGCGATCTGTCTCTTTGTGGGGCTGAGCCCGTGGGACACTTGAGTATGGCATGGAGAGATTAGAATAAACTTTCATAGTGGCGGTGGAGGATGTGACTGGGAACTCGGTCCCTGTTAGTCTCTGCCATTCGAGCAAATTGAGAGGGCTCAGGTCTCATTATGTTTTTGCCAAAAAATCCTTTTAAAAAATGTAGTTGTTTTGTGATGCGTTTTTAGGATTATATAACGTGGTTTACCTTTCTCTTTGATCACGTGAATCTCTGAGGATACTCCTAACCCAGGCAGCCTCCTTATCTGGGCTTTTTTTCAGTGAGAATTCACTGGACTTCAGAGTGCTTACAAGAAACAACTGAGACAAAAAGATTCTTCAGTACAGGGTTTTTGGAAGGTGCCTTTTATAATACTCATTCTTTGCAGATTTTTAAAGAAAAAAATCCTGCATTAACTGTGGTTTGCATTGAAGCAGATAGCTGTACACAGAAATTTGCAAATACTTGGATTTTTTCAGATTTTTAAACGACATACTGGCAAGTGCAAGGGGAAAAAGCTGGAACAAAGTGACAGTTTTCTGTCATACTTATCACGGGTATGTTGATAGTGGCTGAAGTAGCATACTTTCTGCTATCGGTATCTTAAAACAAATCAGACAATCTGACCATGCAAATTTCAATTCCCAAATGAAAAGATGCAAAATTTTCCTCCTTGTGTTGACCTCAGTTGCTCTCTATTTGCCCTTCTGGAAAATAAAATGGCAGAGCTTACTTGTGTCCCTGTGTATGAGCAGGGAGAAGGAAATGGTACTGAATGACAAAGGAAAGCAAGAAGGAAGTTGGAAGCTCTGTGCTGAGACTTAAATATGAATATTTTTCTTTTTTATTTTTTTTTTTCCCCCTCTAAACAAATGGTAATGGAGGGGGGGTGGAGTTTGTCTTCTATGCTGCCAGTCATACTGGCTTTGAAGGACATGTAATTGGAATGGCAGGCTGCCATCAGGGTCAGTGGTTAACGTGGCTGCTGGCAATGCACAATTTTAGCAGCCATCACTAATGACATGGCAGAAGAGGAACATATGTGGCCAAGTTGCAGGAGATGTTCAAGGGCTAAGAGGATGGGGAGAGATAGAGCTGAAGACTCTCATGAGCAGGAGCTAGTGATCGTGTCTCCTCCATGCTCATCACAGCTGGTGAAACGGGACTGAGATTTCCAGTTTCTCAGAGCGAGCAGTTTGTGCCATAAATATGTTGCCTCGCGTTAGGGAGGTTACTGTTGGTGCACACGAAAGAGGTTAACGCAATACACTGGTATTGCTGGTTTGCTTTGTGAGTGGTTACAGACCAGCTAGGGTCCTTAAATGTTTTGTGCAGGAGAAGATTTCTTACAGGCCAGGGTGTCTTTTTCCAATATCAATAATGAGAAATTGAAATAGGTCTCTAAATGGGATGGTGAGTGGCTTAATCAGCTAAGCACTCTGAGAGCAGAGCTCTTTTGAGATGCAAGGCATCCTTCCGTAATAGATTTTATGATTCCACCTACAGTCTTGGCCAAGTAAGGATAATTTAGTTAAGGAACTGTATAAGTATCTAGAAATTCCGCTGCAGAGACCTAAATATGAGAAACAGTAGTTGTAAACAAATGCTGTGATATAGAAAGCAAGGGGTTTTGCACATGAACTTGTGGCAGGGTTATAGTTCATGGCAAGTGCTCTGGAAACATGCTTTGAGGATAGACTTGATTAAAAGATATCACCCAATCATTCGAAAATTATGGTGGTTTTTTTTATTCCCTTAAAAACAGGGTGGAGAACAGATGGTGAGAGAATAGCAGTTGAAGCCAACTGAACCAGTTTGAGGAATTGTACTAGAGTTTGGGGGTTTCTGGTTTTGTTCTTGTCAAACTTCTGTCACAATGCTACTGAAATGTTCAGCCGTAATAATTTAGAAAATGGATATAACAAATCCCCCAGTACTTAACTTGTTTAATGATCTCTGAAGCAGGTAAGTAGTAAATGGGCATTGGTGTACAGTTGATTTCTCCCACATGCTGTTGTAATTTTGTTATGGGACAATCAAATTAGAACTTAAACCAGACCATTCCAATTACGAGAGCTGGGAATTCTTGCAAATAAGTTTTCTTGTTGTTTTTTACAATGAACTGGCTCTGGTTGTCCAAAGAAACTGTGGAGGTCTTTAGAAAAATTAATAAGTAGAATAAATGTGTATATAACTTAAAAATTAAGTTGGAATTTTGTCTAATTTCAGCTGTTAAAGACTATGAGAAGAACAAAGAAAGAAAATCCAAAGACTATGGAAGGTCCAAGTCAAAGAAAAAGAAAAAAAAGAAAAAGAGAACTCAGTCTGGTAAAGCTCTTTTCTCTGCTGTAGAGGAAAACAGCTTCATTATTTTGTCTCACCTCTTACCCAGTTCCACACTCTTAAGAGCGGGCGTTGCAGATTGGGCTGCTTTCTTCATTAATCTTTTAGTTCTGATTTTTATTAAGTGGTTAATATTAAATTGTGATTGGCGAGATAATTTATTTGGTGGTTGAGGTGCATTATTAATGCTGGATGACAGCTTATAGTAGTGCTTGTAATGCCACAGGATAAATCTAACTACAAAATGGATATGTCAGTCTTTAAGTCTGGCTTTTCATTAGCAAGTGTACTTGTATGCAAGTTTTACCCAGTGAAAGAGGGTGCAGATCCCCTTGATTTGTTACCAAATACCCTGCGTACCAGATGTTCTCAGTTATATGAGTTAGTTTGGGGGCTCCTGTATGAATTACGGAGTTTAGAAATGTTGTTGGGTGTCCTCTTCCTGCTGTTAACCTTGTTATTTCTGATATCTTCACTTAGTACGGGATTTCAGGGCCTGTGACAATGAGCTCTATAGAACCTGTCACATCCTAGATTTTTTTCCTAAAAGATTTTTTTCTTCTCTTCTGGAGGCATGAAGTAAAAGCTTGATTTAAAGTCTATACTGGTGCTGTGTCCCTCTCATGTCTTGCAAAATGCTGTTCCACCTGTATTAATAGGGTTGTAGTAGGAACATGTCTTCTCTGTTGATTTCATCTACAGAGGCTTGGGAATGCTTTCCTCGGTCTACTCTCTACACTTTGAACTTCATATGTGGGCCCAGGTGTCATGGGTGATTGGATTCTTCACTTCTGAAAATCACAATAGATTCTGAAAGATTTCTTTAGTGAAATGTTTACAGATCAAGCGTGGCAACTTTCTCAGCCATTGATGGATGTCTAGGATCATTAATGCAGCACATTTCAATCTGGCATGCATAATTTGTTAAACTAGAGCTCCGTATGGAGGAGCTGCTGAGACAGGGGAAGAAAATACCTTACCTTTTTGTTTGCCGCCATGAAGAAATAGGGCAAGCTGTCATGAGAGAGTAGAAGAAAGAACCACAGGCACACTGACTCAAGTTGTACTGAAACAAGTAATTTTAGTGAGTTTCTGATTCTATGGTGCCCTCAAATGTAATGATAATATGGAAAGTATAATTTGTAACAATTGTACAATAGTTGCGCAAATAGTAGCCACAGACTGCTTGTCTGTCTACTCTAAGGTTTTAAAATGTTGCTTGCCTTCTGTTTTGGTGTTACCCTTGTGGTTCTTCAGTCCGGGAACTTTGAAGGTTTTTTCCAGATAACTGGTTGGAGGGTATTGCTTCTAACTGCAGACAGCCTCCATGTACGTACAGTCCAGGATGTGACAAATGGATACTTTGCAGATCTGTTCTAGGTGTTTTCTCCACACGTTACTAACTGGGGCTTTTCTCTTCCACCCATGCATCCTGTGCCATACATACACTAGCAAAACAAGAGAAGAGTTGCTTTCTGTCTGCTTTGCAGCCTGTGAAGTTAGGGAATGTGTGTAGCCCATGTGAGGGAGAGGTCTCCAGCTAGCAGTGCTTGTGTACAAGTGCCTGTAATGTAAAAACACTTGTAGACATATTCACCCCGAAGAATAGTTAAGTTTAAGTAACCAGTCTTTTTAGCCTTTCTCACTTACATTGGCAGTGAAGGATGACTAAGCTGCGTAAGATTTTTCTGGTTCAGACAATAATAACTTTCTTGCCTCTGGAAAGCTTGCAGATCTTTCAGCAGCATAGTGAAGTCCTAGAGCCCCGGCATATTGAAGTGGAAGCTGTCTCAGTGAATTATACGTGTCTGCTGTGGGGCATGCATGGTGCTGGTATTTTTTTCTTCTGTCAAATTTTCTTGACCATAGATTTCTAATAATAACACTTCTTAAAATTTTACAGAATACTCTGGCAGTGAAGAAAACACAGATATTTCACAGGAGCTTTCTCCTGAAAAATCAGTTGTCACAAAATGTCTTTCTTCAAATAAATCATCTGCCCACCCAAGCACACTGCTACACTGCTCTGATTCTGGACAGCACAGAGGAAAATCAAAAACAAACGGTAAGATGACTCTCCTCTATGGTTTGCTGCTTCTGTCTTTCATTAGCAGTTGTCGTGGTTTGGCCTCAGCCAGCAACAAAGAACCACGCAGCCGCTCGCACAACTCCCACAGTCGTGGAAAAAGAAAATGACAGGGCCAAACTCGTGGGTTAAAAGAGTGCAATTTAACAGAACAGCAAAAGGAAAAGACGAAAACGCGATTACAGTACCGCCGCGAAGCGCACCGACCGGACCCGCACCGACGCAGCCCACCCCCGAGTGGCGACTCCTCTCCTCGCCCCGGCTAGCTCCTCTTATAGCCCGGGCATGAGTCACGTGGGAGGGAATACCTGCCCCCTGCCGGCTCCGGGGGAGATTAACCCCATCCCTGCCGGAACCAGGACAGCAGTAAATATGTGAGCCGCACTAATACACACTAAAGCCAGTACTTATGATGTAGATTTGGCTATTCTTATGCAGGAGAGTGTGTGTTTCTTTCCCCTGCCTGAAGAAGTTGAAGCAGTTCACTTGGAGAGCTCGATGTTGCTGCTTTTTGCTTTGACTTCGCAGTCTTAAGCAGTCTTCTGCTGAAGTCTTAGACTTAAAGCTTCAGAGAAGCTTTCAGCTTCAGAGAAGCTTTTCAGCTTTTCACTTAAAGTTTTCAGAGAAGCTTTAAGACTCTTCCCCATATTTTAGAACTCAAACTCATTTTGCACCTTTTTGCAGAATTTTATTAACTCTATAACAACAATGCTCAGGCTTCAGTATTTAAACTTTTCATATTTCCAAAGATTTCTACAAAGTAATAACTCAGAGTTTAAAACTTGCACAGCATCTATTTTTTACAGTATGTGTGTTTTGTTTGAGAGACCACTTGGATGTGGTTATGTGTAGTTGTATAGATATGGTATGAGACGTGGTTATAATGACTTTCTGAGCTTCATGATGAGAAGCTCTTGAGTAGCTATTTATTAGTGTTTTTGTAGTACTTCATAAACAGAGCTCCTAAAAACGTGGCAGCTGTGTTCCAGCTTTCAGAATTCTTAATATCTTGGTCCATCCGTGCTATTTGCTGTCACAAGCTGGTACAATAAAGAAGGAAGACATACATTTTGATCTTTCAGTTATTATTAAAGCTAACAAATTTGAAGGAAATGGGAAATGTATGACAGCTTCATTACGTACAGGAACCTCAAATTCCTTATTGTACAGGTACACAGTTGGTGACCATTGATTTTTTTTATTTTATTTTTTTTTTACACTGTTTTAACGTTTGGTCTTAGGCAAAAGGTAAAAATTAACTTCAGTTAATTCCATTATATACAGAAAAGAGGAAGCATTTAAAAACTACTGAAGCATAGATGGTGATAATGTCTTAAACTGTGTGCTGCAAGTCTGATCAGTTGCGGTTCTGGAGCATATTGGCCTTTGAACATACTGGTAGTTTAGTAACTTGGCCATCAGTTGCTCAGGCTTCTTTTGATCAGTTCATAGACATTGAAAGAGGTGAAAAGTAATGGAAACAGTTTTATTTCATCCTTTACACAGTGGCTTTGCTGCTTTTTGCATCTCCAGAACTTGTACTGACAATAAAAACAGTGCTTAGATAAATGAGATCTGGTGTATGGAATATTAAAACTTTTGTGTAGAATGAAAGTGCAGTGAGCTAAACCTGTCACTGCCAGAGTACATCAGGAAAGAGTATCCTATCTTAGAGTTGGAATAGAACTTTAAAACATGAGAATTAACTAATGCATCAGGTTCTCAGCCTCTTAAATTTGAGAACAGATGTTTTTCCAAAGGTCTAGTTTATACTACAGACTGGTGGTTCTGTCTACTTCTGCAGTCTTGTTTTAGGGGTTAAGTGATCAAAATGGTTCTACCCAGTATAAGTGAGAGACCACAGTCTACTTAAGAGTGACTAAACTTCTACTGTCCACTCTCCTCCAGCTCATTACAGTATTTCCCAAATAATTAAAATCCTTGTTTTCTCCCTCTGACCCTCCCATTCTATCCCCAAGAAAGCTGTAGACATTGCATTAATAATATTGAGGTAAGCACCTCAATTTGGCATGTTGTTCAATTAAAGATTTTCTTGGTAGTTTTATTCAGTCCACAGAGATGGATCAATGCTTTAAGTAGCGTGGGAGCGTTCTTAAAGAATACCTTGGGCAGCGCACTGCTCCTGAACTGATAAATGTGTCCTTAACAGGAGACGAAATGGAAGTAGTCTTTTCTGAAGCAGTACTAAATTCTGTGTTAGACTACAAGTGTTTCTGTGATGGAGACGTCGCATTGTGAGATCGAATGGTTTGTAAGACAGAACCCGCTTGTCTCTTTTTGGGAGCGCAACACTTAAAGTCACAATTCTGTACAAATTGCAGAAACTAGTATGAATCCTATTTGAATTTATAAATCTGGTGTTATTATACTTACTTGCCTAAAGAGACTTTGTGCCTTTGGTTTGAGGCACTGTGTGTTGAGGGTACAATTTTAATGACAGAAGCTGTTAAGTTGGAATATTTTGAAGGAGCTATTAATGAGAATATAAAATTCCATTATGTAGTAACCTTCAATAAACAGTAAGTTTATTGAAGGTTAGTACATAATGTAGTAACACTGTGATGTTCCTTAAATTACATGGTGAAGTCCTGCTTTTAGAAATGTATGTCTGTATACTTGGGATGAAATCTTGAGCGTTATTTGGCCTTCTTGAAATCCTGAGTAATTACATCTAACTACTTTTTGTACAGAGGAGGACACCCTGAGTGAGTCATCTATGGATAGCTTGCTTTGGAGTGATGATGACTGCAGTCAGGATGTTGATGTAACCACTAACCCTGACGAAGAAGTTGAAGAAAGTGATTTTGAGATTGTTCGGTGTGTTTGTGAAGTAAAAGAAGAAAATGACTTCATGATTCAGGTACGAAGTGCATGGAGGGTGAATGCACATTTTGGTGAATACAGTGGGAGGTGTCAGTGGAAAAGCCATTGTAGAAATATGCACAGGTACGTTCTGTACATGAAATGAACTACTGTTGTCCACTGAAATCATAAATTTTTTAAGGTAACGTCCCAGGACGAGCAGCTGCTATGATAGGTAGAAAACTGCTTTTTGGTACAGTTTGGGTTTTAATCAAAGGAAAGTAGGGGAAGAGGGACGATTCTATACAAGCTGTTAACGGTTGGGTTGTCACTTGTGGATTTGCATTTTGCTAAAAATTAGAACACTTCCTAGTTTGGGAGAATACATATTTATATTCAGTGGCTTTTTATCTGGCTTTTTTGCTTCCCCCTAGTTCTGAGCACATTCAGATCATTGCCATGAGATTGTGGTACCCTTCCACTTCTCTGCCCTGGCAAGAAGCTTGTTCATATAGATAGGATGAACAAAAAAACTCATTACTTGAGTATTTTGTTTTGAAGTAAGAGTTGCATTCAACTGTTCTGCAGCTTCTTCTGTATTTTCTAAATTCAGAGTTCTTAGTCTGCATAAGGCCATCTGTCCGTTCTCCATATATGTACTCTTTTTAAACCAACTTTACAGAAAACTGTTTCCAGCTAGAGCAGTGTCTATCTATCCCACTTAAAACTCTTGATAAAAGCCTCTTTGGAACTTCTACTTCTCGAGAAGTTTGCAAGTTATCAGGAAGCCATTCCCCGCATAGCTGCTCTGAGCCATTCTACCCAGTTCCTATTCATTTCAAATAATTAAGTCAAACATATAAAATAAAAAAACCTACTTCAGCATTTTTTGCTCTAGTTCATTTTGCTACTGCTTCTTATGTGAGCTGCCTGGTCCCCTTTGGTAATTCCCCTGAAGTCTTAGAAGAAGCATATGCAGGGGCATAATGTGCATGATGTGCTTCAACCAAAATAATGAGTTTTTTATAGTTGCCCTTCTGAAGAAATCAGGTTTTGGTTTTGGGTTTTTTTGTTTGTTTTTGTTCTTTAGGAGGCTCTCACCCTTCTGATCTAGATACTGTTTTGCTTGTTGTGGGACCTCAGTTCAAAGTGCAGTAGTATAGCTTGGCAGCTGTGCTCATTGCGAATTCTAAGGTAATTATTGCATTCTTTTGAGGAGGTTGTTTTATTTGTGAAAGGATATGGCATGACACTGACTTCAGAAATATTTTTCTGGCACATGAAGCTCACCTGAATCTGCAGCTTTTGAATTCACTTTTCCAGGCATTCTCTTGCTAATTTGGGGGAGGTTTGAATCCCACTCTATGGGACCCCTTACTGGGATAATTCCTGGCACGCTGCTGTGAACTACATTTCTTTTTTGCTGTTTGGAACTAAGAGGAAGGACACAAGCTGATCTATACCACCTCACAGCTGCTGTTTATTTTTTGGTGGACTTTTTTGCTTGAATGGGGGCAGAAACCTGTTATGGAGAAGAGCAGGTGCACTGGTTAAATTGTAGTGTGAAGAATTCTTGGCTTCTGCAGCACGACAGTTGAAACACCCTTTTTGCTCTGAACATCAACAACCTAATTTTAAAAATTGTTAATAGGGCTACCTAAAGCAGGGGATACTTGATTTTTGTCCTCCACAGTCAAGTTTAACATCCAGCTTCAATGGTTAGTTTTCTTTGGCTTTCCATGCTGCTTTATGTAGATTTGCTCTGGAAGGTGGGACGCTTCTTCTCTTAGTGCTGAGTTCATTTTGATGCACACCTTTGTATTAGTGTTGAATCCTGACAACCCAGGGCAATAGATAGCTCGTGTGTGAGTAGGAAAGGGTGTAGTGATGGGCAGTGGACGAAATTAGACAAATAGCATCTGAGTGTATAGGAGCAAAAGTAGTCTGACAGTTGGGAATAAAGGGGGGCAGCTTCCTTCTGAGGAGATGGCACAATGAAAAACACAGGTATTTCTGGCAAAAGTAGGCTCAAAAGTAGACTGATTATGGAATACAGAGAACTGTCAGCTGGCTCAGGACATAGTCTATGGACAGCTTTCATGTAAGGTTTCGTAGGCTGATTCTGAGATCGGTTGTCTAGGTTGAACTAGTTTGGGGGGTCTTTCAGTCTGTTGCAAAGTTTTAGAGTTTAGCTGTGTTATCAAAGGATTGTCTAGGAGAGCAGGTGGTTCTATCTGGAAAAGAAATGCAGATTGACAGCATGGTGAGTACCTGCATTTGTTACAGGGATTGAAGCAATAGGAATTGGGGAGCAAGAAGGTGGTAACAAGATTTTAGGGGGATAGGTTAGGCAGATGGTTTGCTTAGGCTACCAAATACTATGCTCCCTACACCTCTTTGTCAGCCTGTAGTTTTTGGGAAAATGTTTTAAACAGTCTAGTCTTCTGTTGTTGATGTAGAAATGCCTGAGTTAGCTCTTTAAGTACAGAGCATTAACAGAAAGCAAAGATGCTGTGTTATACAACTGTGGAATTACGGTAAGGGGAAACCTATTTTCAGCTTTTCAGAGGTGTAGTGCTCACGTTGACACTTCCCTTTGACTTTATAGAGTGAGAATCCTGTGTAGTTGTCATAATTTCATAAGAAGGAAAGATTTCTTCCCTATTTCCTACTCAGACTTTAATTTGACACTTGGAAACTTGAATTGGGAAGTGTCTACCCCAGATAACGTGCATTTAGACTTGTCTTTTCTTCCTGAAGATATGTATTTTTGCTCAGTGTATGGGTTTTTAGAAGAATATTGTCATTCTTGGACTTGTCTCTGTTTTGATTATTCTGCCCCTGCTTATTACTCTGAGATCTGACTGAAATACGCTGGCACATGGGGTACTTGCTTGAGTGTGTGCCTGGGTGCCAGTCTGCCTCGAGTTGGTACCAAAATTAGGAGCCAGGGCAGTTTCTCCATGCATGTGACTGGAGGCTCATTCCTCCCAGGATACATGTATGGTGCCCTCTTACAAGAGCGAGAATGGTAAGTAATTTTCTCTTTGAGCTGCGCTCATTTCCATGAATGTCCTAAATCTGGAAATAATGAGGAAAAAAATGTTAGTTTTAAACACAAGCAGCACCTTTATTTTTCCTCAGAGGTCAGGGACCATTAAGGTTAATGAAACTCTTACACAGTTAAACCGAGAGTTTGTTCCATTTAGGTCTTTAATAATAAAACCCCCAGAAATTCAGCTTAGAAATTTTGCAAAAAACTCTTCCTCTATCTTGAACTTGCCTTAAATTTTCTCAAGCAATTTGTGCAAGAATACCATTCATTACACTGGGATACAGAAATATGGTTTTGCATATTAAAAATATGGTTTTGCAATTAAAAAATTAACTGCCTTAGTAGATGTTAAAACTGGAAAAAAGTATAAAAAATAATATATCCCTGGTCAATGCTGTTTCATTCCGGTCTCTATAACTTTGCAAGGAGGTTACTGTGAAGCTTGTGTAAAGTCATAGCTTAGCATTGCCGTGTTGTGCTTCTGAAGGCATGGCACTCCCTTCCTAGGGTAAGGCTGGGGCCCAGAGAAGTCCAGACAAAAGGTCATTGTCCCTTCCCTTCCTTTTTGTTTTGGTGCTTTGTTTTTTTTCTTTTAATACCTAAACATTGGTGAATTTGTGTGTGATGTAGAGAATTCTGTGGCTGCATTTGGTGGCCTTTGGAGGTGATGGATGTAAATGGACTTGGGATATTTTTGTTCTGGTAGATGAAAGCTGCTTTAAATACATGTCCATTGGGTTCGGTTATTTCTTTCACACTTGAACTTGGATTTAAATATCATTGCACAACTATGCACGTTTTTCCTCTTCAAAATCTCTTATTTGGCTTGCTTAGAATCTCCCTACTACTGCCTGGGCAGGGAGTACCTTCTTTGTAGTGTGTGTCCAGAGCAATAGCCTGTAGCCTGGCAGCCAAGCTGTGAAGGAGAACATGCAGATGGGGTGGATATTTGACTATCAATTGAGTAAAATAAAAAAAAGTTGGAATGCTTCATTAGAATTCTGGGCAAATTACTGAGTGTATCTCTGTGCCATATGGCATGATTTCTAGGATGCAAGTGTTACTGCGCCCAGGAGCTCCCTTCTTATTTTTAGCACACAGTCTATTTTTCTTAATGTGTCATCTTTGTTTTAGGACACTTTTTTCTGGCTCCTACTAATCGTCTTTGTGAAAGGAGGATGGTCTCAGCCTTTTTTGAAGATGTCTCCGTATTGCTTTAGGGCTGTTTACCCATTTTGTAAGGCAACCTGTTTCCTGAACACCATTCTGTGTTCCCAGTGCTTCTGTTTCCTCCACACCTAGACCACTAATTTAATACAGTGAGGTATGAAAAAAATGGGTGGTCCCTTTCTGTCTCTCTTAGCTTGAGGAAAGGCAGAACGTAAGAGCATTAATAGAAGTGGTCTAAGTGGTGAGACACAGATGAGACGTTTATCAAGTTGCCATCTTTGTAGGTCCATGGAGAGCACCATCTAAGATTGCTTGCAGTTGCTGTTTGGTTTAGCTCATTTTGAAAACATTTGCCAATATTGACAAGATCTCTGCATTAAGCTTTTGGCTTGTGCCCTGAGAAATAAAGGTTATGACCTGTTGTCTCACAGCTTGTGAAAATAGTAGTTCTGAACTGACGCCACAGTTTCAAATCAAAATCGACTTAATATTCTTCTGTGGGGTTTGTCCCATGTTTTGGTGATCTTTATGCTACAGTTGCAGTTTTGTTTGCTTGTTAAAGTGCGTGTGTGGGGAAAGTGACTAAAACAGAACATGTGGATGTGTTTTTTCCTGTTCTAAAATTGTATTGCTTTAAGTACAATGATTGCATTTTAAATAGCATAACTGCGCTAAAGTAGTGCCAAATTATATTCAGGCTTTCCCAGTATGATTGCTCACACTTGGAAGGATGTCAGAAGTTTATAGAGCTAGTACAACTGCATCTGCACTTTAGTTTTAGTAGAGCTACCTTTGAAACGGATAAAATGTTAGAGGTACAAGTATCAGTAAAGCATAGTATTGGCTGGTCCTATGTGACGTAAAATATCCCTTGGATTTTGTAACTGGATGTGATTTACTGTTTGTGGGGGAAATCTTTTAATTCAGAAAACCTGATGTATTTTGCTAAAGAAAGCTTGATTGCATACTGTTTTCTGTCCTGATTATGTGTGCGTGCATCTCACGAAAGATTTTCCTCTCCAAAGGGGACATTTTGCACCTTTCAGGATCTCTGCTTGTACTTTGTAGTTGTCATTCTCCAGAAATCCATGTGAAAAATGTGTGGGAAGGCTTCAAATTTTATTGTAGTCTGATTCTTTAATGTATTTGCTTGTAGCTGGAAGAGGGGGGTGGGTATTAATACACCTTTTTGTCTTAAAATATGTAGATGATGTGTCTCTTAATTGAGGTAATCTTATTGAGCTCCTGTAGGCTTCATTTCTGTTGATGTGCACTTCTTGACTTCAAACAGTGTGAAGAGTGTCTGTGCTGGCAGCATGGAGTCTGTATGGGTTTACTGGAAGATAATGTACCTGAGAAATATACCTGCTATATTTGCCGAGATCCTCCAGGTACAGAAACTTAAGGTTACAGAACCTTCTTATATATGTAGTAAATATATTAGGTTTTTTTAATATATATATATATTGCAAACATTAAACTTTTTTTCCCCCCTAGCTGTGTCTGTCATTATAGGTAATTGAGTTCAGTTATAGATATGGAAAGTTTAATTTACGTGAAAGTACGTGAGTCAATGTTGTGGAATTTACAGCTGGACAGGAATGGAAATGAATGTTTTCACTGTGATGATCATCTGTCACATATTTGCCAGTGATAAGGATTGTACTGTCTGGCTATGGAAAATGAGTTTAGAAGCACTCAGGAAACTTAAGCAAAAACTCCTCATGGGCACCTCTTGCGGGATGTGACTGCAGCTTTCCTCCAACAAGACCAGGCTCACGCATTCTTTAAAACAAGTCAGCAAGAGGCTCGCTGGTTCTCAACAGCCGTGCTGTGCTAGGGCTTGTTACGGGAAGGCACTCACAATGCATGTATATAAATACAAATATAAATTATCTTGGGTAACATAGTCAGGGTTGATTAAGCAATATGTTCTCTACTCCTAAATACATATTTTAAAATGTCTTAGTACATCTTATGCAGCAGGTAAAATTACGCTTATGTGGGTCTCTTCTGACTTCCTACTCTATGAATTATAAAGCCTTGCTGAATGTGGAAATGGAGGAGGTTCAGGCTTGAGTCCATGTTCATAAATTATGAGAAAATGGGATCTCTCTTTGCATAATCACAAGACCTTTTTGGTTTATATACGTACTTGGATCTGCTTTTTTGGCTGTTTAAAACTAGCAACTCTTTTGTAGCTGAACTCATTGATTTGTGTAGTTGATATATTTATGTTTGTACTCAAAGCAAGGAAGACAGGCTGTGCTTGCATTCAGTTATCTAAGTAGTAAAATAATTTAACACCTAAGTTTTTTACAGTATCTTGCATCCAGGATTTAAACCTTCTATTTTCAAGACATTTTGATTTGTTTTGTGTCAATTTGAGTTAGTTTTCAACGTAACTAAAGAGCACATTAAGAATGAAGTTGTGCCATCAGGATTGAACTCTTTGTATTTAGTAAGAAGCTTTATCAGAATGCTTTTTGGTGAAAACTGATTACAACTAACACTTCATCTGCTTAATTAGTTTAATCACTTTTATGAACTCTTGCTTTGAAAATCCTGAAACTTACATTTTCTTATTTGGGCTTAATTTTTACCTCTGTCTTGGAAAAGGAAAACATATCCACCTTTTTGCCTGCAAAAGTGGCTTCTCAATTTCAGTGAATCTGCTGTTGGCGTGAAATGAGCTAAATGGACTTCATGAATCTGCAAAATTGCTTTTAGAACTGGGCATAGCTATTCAGCAAACTCTTATTTGGGGGCTTTCCCCAGTATAGTGCTGGGACTTGTAATAGCACCATTCAAATTACTGGGAATAAATGCAAGTTTAGTGTAATTATGCTTAAAAACTGTACCAACTCTCATTTTTAGACAGGGTTTTTTTGGAATCAAGTGGGATTTTTAAGAGATTTGTTAACACTTACTCTTGCCTAAACGTTGTTTCTTCTTTTTGTGTCTTCTGTTACGCTTACGCACCTAAAAAGAGCACTTGCTGTCCCTGAGTACACCGCTAAGTGAACAGTGCATGGGTGGGCTTCAGTTGGGTAATCTCAGTGGTGTTCAGATGCCCGTGGAGTTCTAAAACTCACGGTTTTATTCTTGTGCACTGAACTTCATTTTCTGTCACAGATGGTAACTTCTCTTATACAAAAATAAATGGGGGGTGGTTAGTACAGGTATGACAGGAATGTCTCTGGCCCCACCTAGGACATTTCTTGCTCGGTACAGCATATCTGCCTGAAATGTTGAGTGGTTACAGCCTTGAAAACTTGTTCTTACCTGTGTTGGTTTCTCTTTGAGAGTTTTTGGAGGTCTTGCCTCAAAACATTGAGTAGTGTCCTATACAGTCTAGTGCCTGAGCGTGCTTACAAGCGTACTCCTTTGCTTTTGCTCCTTTATGAGACAGAGCGTTAGTATTGAATTTAACTTTGAAAGTGTCCTTTATGGCTACGGATGTTCATACAGGGCATGATACAGAAACCATTTTGCTACCTTCCAAAAGCACATAAACACCTGTGACCAAGTTCTGCTCACTTCTCGGCACGGCTTCCAGAGAGTTGGTTTGCTTCGTTGTGTGAAAGTTAGTCATGTGGGCAGCAACGCTACATGATGCGCATGTACTGCAATCCCCGATGCTTACTCCAACGCCTAGTAACTCTTTGTTTGTTTGCTTTTTGGTTTTGGGTTTTTTGTTTTAAACTTCTGCTTAACTGCTAAAACTTCTAGTCAATATTTACCTGCTTATATTGGAGACTTTTTTTGTGAATATCATTCTGAGTCTCTGCTCCAATATTATCTCTGATTTTGTAGGTTCGCTGCCTGGGCTGTATATAGGCAGTGAATGGTGTGGTGTTTCTCAGGGTGCTGAGCTGTCTTCTGAGAACATCTGTTGTAACAATACATTTTCCAGGGTGTGTGGGGGCTTTTGTTGGGTTTTTAGCTTGGATTTTTTTGTTTGTGTTTTTCCAACTTAGCAAGCGTCTCAAGTTCCACTCTTTCCTGCTAATACTGTTTTGCTTGGCTTCTTAAGTTACTTTTACTGATGCATTTATCACACTTAACATAATTTCATTTCAGCTGTTGATACTCAAACCTCTTAGGCTATTAATAATGCTAACTCTAGCTTGACTTAGGCAAGTTCTCCATCAGAACCTCATCATTGATTCCTTTAAAATTCACTTTTGAATGTACTAATACATGTATGACACTTAAAAATAAGACCACTGGAGAAGGGAAGTTCACTGCCTTTTGCTGCATTTTTCTGTCTGCAGAGAGCTGTATTCAACCTGTAGCTTTAGTTATAACCATGGTTACTAGACAGTGTGATACCCTGATAAAAATACACTTTTCTCTGTGCATCAGCTGCAATTACCTCTTGTTGATGTCCTTTGATGGAATTTGGGGTCTGAATGCTTTTACAGTTGGGCAGAGGATTTTGACTGAGTGACTGAGGTTATCATCTCACTTCCCACTTCACAAGTGTTTCATGTCTTCAGGCTTTTGTCTGCTATTACAGAATCTTTATTGGTACTATTGATAAGAACAAATAAGCTGTTACAAGACTTTCAGATAATCAGAATTACTACTAGTAATGTTAACATACCATAGTTAATGCTGCATTTTAACATGCTCATTACTGTTGCTTTAGGTCAGAGGTCCAGCTTAAAGTACTGGTATGAGAAGGAGTGGTTAAGTAATGGTCACATGCATGGCTTAGCATTTTTGGAAGAAAATTATTCCCACCAGAATGCCAAGAAGATAGTAGCCACTCACCAACTTCTTGGCGATGTACAGAGAGTGATAGAAGTACTGCATGGACTGCAGCTGAAGATGAGCATATTACAGTAAGCAGTATTTAACTATCAGTTGGCATGTTCTCAATGTGAAATAGATTTCAAATAGTAGAAAAATAACTAGAAATTCTGACTTATTTTTGTGCTTTGTGGGTATATAACAACATAGTTTGAATTGCTGATGTGATCTTGGAAAAGGACTTGGCTGCTTAAAAACCATTTAAGTGTGTTGAGTATAAATTGACTACGTGTAGAGAAGGGTTGGGAAAGTATGAAGGAGAGAGGGAGAAAACTAAAGCACCTAAATAGATTGAAGTAACAAGCAGAGGACAGGCATATAACCCATGGCAACATTCTTATAACACTTGCCTTCTCAATTCCTGTAGTTCTAAATCACAGCTTTGCCAGCAGAAATAAAATCTTTTTGTTCAGCATATGTTGCTCTGTTGTAGTGGGAGAGCAGTAGCAGCACTTTCAGCAACCTGTAGCAGTTAATCAGCAACCTGTAGCAGTTAATTTTTCTGCAGATTATTATGGATATATATGACAAAATACCATATTCTGTAATCACTGTAGAAATCAAGTTTTCTCCATCTTCTTCTGTTTTAAGTCATCCTTGGGTTCTGATGACTGAAAAAAAATAATCTTTTTTCTAACTCAAATCCAGCAGTTTTAAATTGATTGAATTCCATATTTATAATTTATTAGTTGATAAATTGCACAGCAGCAGCTATTTGGAAAGCAAAGCTTTTAGTGTTTCCAGTGTTCTTCAGAACTTTTCCCCTTAACTTTAATCTGTAGTGCTGCAGTAGGGCCGCTAGCAGTACTTGAAATGCTTAAACATCAGAATGATGCTTAAAGCAAAAGAGTAGCAATTTTAACATAAGTTTTTGTTTTCCCATTATGTTATTCTTTAGTCAGATCTGTAAGTAGTCCCTTTCCTCTTTCGAGAGGGTGGAACATAAATGTTGTAAGACCACTCCTTAGGTCTTTTCTTAAATAGCAAGACTTTAGATTGTGACTTTCCAGTTGTAGAGTAAATTGAGATTTGCGTAGTACCAAGGTATGGAGCACTGGGCAAGTATGTGATGCTTGTTACAGACTTTGTTCCTTTTCTATCCTGTCGTGAAGTTGGTGTGATGGCCTGGTTTAATTAAAGATGAGGTGTGGTCCTGTTAGGACCATCTTGTTAAAAGCTATAACCCCTTGTTTATCATTACATACATCAGAAAGGATTTTTTAAATTGCTGAATTAGAAGAATGACTATATTTTTGAAGCAGATCTATCCTCTAGGGGAGAGGAGATGATTTCACACCTGCCTGAAATTATTAGGAGAGTGTTGCTCAGTATTTCAAGGAGGTGGCAAAGCATCGGAGGTGACACTGACAGCTTTGGTGCAATGGGAGGGAGAGCCAGCCATCAGAAGGCAATAGTTAAAAGGTTGCTCAAGTATTAAGTGTTCAAACTTCCATCCTTATGCTACTGATGCATCATCTTTCAGTTTTCTGTAGAGTTGTTCCTTGCTCTTTGCTGAGCAAAGTAGTGGCTTTTAGGTAGAGAGTATCAGTGGAGCTGGAGTAGAAAGCTGTGGTAAAGGAATACTTGGCTTTCACTTTTCTATGCGTGCCTTCAGGGTTGCTCCCAGAGGATATCATAGACATGTGGTCGCTGGAGGTAGAGGCACTTGCATAGAGCGGTCTGAGCAGTTGTACCAACTGCAGTTACCTGTGATAGACACCGAAGAAACCTTAGCTACTGTACAGCGGATTGGAAAGCAGTTACTTTGGAAGTAAAATGGTCGTGTTTTGTTGAGTGGTTTGGCTAACAGCTGGAAAAGCTGGATCAGCTTAATGGAGTAAGTCCATCTGCCTTTGTTTGCAGGGAAGTGCAGAGTGGGGTTTTGGGGCAGACCCGCCCTTTCTGTGCAGCTGAGAGCAGGTGCTTTAGGGTCAGGTTTTGTTGCTGCTGCGTTCTTGCAGCCCATAGCATTTAAGCTGCCTACCCTTTGAAGATAAGCAGAGTGATTCTGCTTTGCTCTCCTTTTTACTGCTGTTTTAATGTCTGACATTTAATGACTGCGAAAGGACAGTATCAGTTAAAACGCTCACTCTAAATTTTTTTATTTTTATATCCATGTAAGAATCTGATACCTATAGTTGTCCCTGCTGCTGGAATAAATAATGTATTAGTCAATTTGAAAACAATTATAATAAGAATTTTTATAAGAAGCGGGTGGGGGGACTATGGCATTTTGGTGTACCAGGCAGTAGAGTTTTATCCGCATCTTGGGATTTAAAGGAAAGTTAACGAAAATAATAGGGCAGTGGTAGTGTAGAACTTCAAGTCCCCAGTTTTTGTTGTTATTAGGGGGTTATAAAAGATCAATGGATTGAATTTTGAAGTCTATTTTGGGGAGTGACAGGCTAAAGTTTTAAACTGAGTGGTTTGAAGGGCTCTTTTTGTTTTACTGGTGTTTAAAATTGTTAAAATCTGACTTTAGCTTCAGTGTACTTGACTCACCTTACTAAAAATACCTCAATGAAAATGAGTTTATGCTGTTAATAAATTGCAAATATTGAAGCAAAGTGCTCCTTCAAGGGCAACATTGGTGAAAAGTTGTATGTGTCTATTTGAAATTTATTCTTTAGTTTTTTTCTTAATGCCAACACTTGGCTTATATACCATGTTATAGAAATGAAAATAGTGAACGTAACAGAACATTGTAGAAAGACTCACAGTTGAGGTCAGTGAAATTATATTATTTCAGAATATTTGGGTTGGGTTTTTTTACTGAGTATGATGGCTAAAGCATGTAGTGGTTCAAATATTCTTAATTTCTTTACGTAATAGGATAGTTTTCTCAGTCACTTTTGATGTTTAAATTTGGGTGTTTTACTTCTTTTATGTTTGAACAGAAATAAAGAACATCCTGACCTAAAGCTTTGGTGCCATCCATGGAAGCACATTACGGTGGATGAAAAAATTCATACAAAGCACATCATTCACATTGAGGAAGACTGTTGCAAAGAGGAGACGGCAAGTTACAGAACTTGGAATGGGACAGTTGAGAAACCCTCAACCATTCCTTCCATGGAGGAATCCTACATTACAAGTGAACACTGTTACCAGAAGCCTCGGGCCTACTACCCTGCCATAGAGCAGAGACTGGTTGTGGAAACGAGAGGTTCAGCCATGGATGATGGAGTGAATAGAATAAGGGAAAACGGTGATGATGCCTTGTCAGAGAGATTTGGCTGGAATCTGGACCGAGAAATATGCAAGATTGAAAATGAACCCAAACACAATTACTCTAAGGTATTTGTATTAAAACAGCCCTCTCTGCATAGCGGATGTGTTTGCCTGGCAAAGTGCAAAACTCAACCCTTTTTAATAGTATTTAGTTTGTTTATTTGTGTTTAGTTTTTTCCTATACTGTTCAGTTGCCAATATGAATTAAAACGATAGACATGATCAACTTGTCCATTTCAAATAATTAAAAAAAAAAATAGGTTGAAGATGACTTCTTGACCTTAAATCATCTGCACTGTCTGTGGAATATGTGTTACGGTCCACTGGCAGTTCATTGCTGCTTACTTTTATGTGTGTTAACTGTAAAAATAAACACTAGCAGTGGGACAGAGCGGGAACAGGGCAAGCCTGTGAGATACTACCAAATACACTGATATTCCAGCTTTTAGTTATTTCCATCTTGTTCCTATGTTTTTTTAATAGTTACATTGACTAAATTAATCCCAGGTTCTTCAGGCAGCATTTCATGGTAGGGGGAAAAAAAAAAGAGGAGCCTGAACTAAGTTTTTAAGAACAATCACCATTGAATGGTCCTGTATCTTATTCCTACTGGAGCACTCTAGTTTTAGCATTTCAACTCTGTTCTCACTGTCAGGTCTATTGGAGGCCCTATTTCTACACCCCAATGCAAAAATTTTGCTTCAGTTGGTTGGTGCCAAGTCATTTGAAATACAGTTTGCCTGATGTTAGAAAGCATCTGGGAAATACTCACCACCTTTTTTACAGATTAAAAAGTTGTTTAGCTTTTTCCATAGAATCGTAGAATTGTTGAGGTTGGAAGGGACCTTTTAAGATCAAGTTCAACCATTCACCTACCCTGACAAAACCACTTCTAAGCCATGTCTCCCAGTACCATGTACCATGTCTACCCTTTTTTAAACACCTCCAGGGATGGCGAATCCACCCCCTCCCTGGGCAGCCTCTTCCAATGTTTAATAACCCTTTCAGTGAAAAGATGTTTCCTAATACCCAATCTAAACCTCCCTGACATAACTTGAACCAATTTCCTCTCGTCCTATCACTTGTCACCAAGGAGAAGAGGTCAGCCCCCACCTCTCTACAACATCCTTTCAGGTAGTTGTAGAGGGTGATAAGGTCTCCCCTCAGCCTCCTCTTCTCCAGGTTAAACAACCCCAGTTCCCTCGGTTACTCCTCATAAGACTTGTGCTGCAGACCCTTCACCAGCTTTGTAGCCCTTCTCTGGACATGCTCTAACACCTCAATGTCCTTCTTGAGGTGAGGTGCCCAAACCTGAACACAGTACTCAAGGTGGTGGGGCCTCACCTGTGCCGAGTACAGGGGGATGATCACTTCCCTAGTCCTGCTCACCATGCTATTCCTGAGACAGGCTAGAATGCTGTTGGCCTTCTTGGCCACCGGGGCACACTGCCGGCTCATATTCAGCCAGCTGTCCACCAACACCCCCAGGTCCTTTTCTGCCAGGCAGCTTTCGAGCCACTCTGCCCCAGTCCTGTAGCACTGCTTGGGGTTGTTGTGACCTATGCGCAGGACCTGGCACTTGGTCTTGTTGAACCCCATACCGCTGGCCTCAGCCCATCGATCCAGTCTATCCAAGTCCCTCTGCAGAGCCTCCCTACCCTCAGGCAGATCAACACTCACACCCAGCTTGGTGTCCTCTGCAAACTGACTGACGGGGCACTCCATCCCCTCATCCCGATCATTAATGAAGATGTTAAACAGGACTGGCCCAGTACCGAGCCCTGGGGGACACCACTCGTGACCGGCTGCCAACTGCAATGAACTCCATTCACCACCACTCTCTGGGCCCGGCCTTCCAGCCAGTGTTTTACCCAGCAAAGCGTATGCCCATCCGAGCCGTGAGCAGCCAGTTTCTCCAGGGGAGTGCTGGGGGAAAGGCTGTCAAAGGCTTCACTAAAGTCCAGATAGACAACACCCACAGCTTTTCCCTCACCCACTAAGTGGGTCACCTTGTCATAGAAGGAGATCAGGTTTGTGAGGCATGACCCGTTTTTTGCAAACCCATGCTGACTGGGCCTGATCACCCTGTTCTCCTGTATGTGCTATGTAATGGCACTGAGGATGATCTGTTCCATGACCTTCCCTGGCACTGAGATCAGACTGACAGACCTGTAGTTCCCTGGATCCTTCCTCCGGCCCTTCTTGTGGATGGGTGTCACATTTGCCAACCTCCAGTCAGTTGGGACCTCCCCAGTTAGCTAGGACTGCTCATAAATGATGCAGAGTGACCTGGTGAGCACTTCCACCAGCTCCCTCAGTACCCTTGGGTGGATCCCATCCAGCCCCACAGATGTGTGCACCTCCAAGTGCTGAAGCAGGTCCCTCCCCATTTCCCTTTGGACCACAGGGGTTTCATTCTGCTCCCCATACCTGTCTTCCAGCTCAGGGGTCTGTACTCAGGGAATAACTGGTCCTACTGCTGAAAACTGAGGCAAAGACAACATTAAGTACCTCAGCCTTTTCCTCATTCTTGGTCACTATGTTACTGGCCCCGTCTACTAGAGGACAGAGATTATCCTTAGTCCTCTTTTTATTGCTAATATATTATAGAAACTTTTTTGTTGTCCTTGACAACAGAAGCCAGGTTTAGGGCTTTGGCCCTTCTATTTTTTTCCTTACTTTCATACTTATGTATGCTGTAATTTATGTTCTTTTTAGCTTCTCTAGCAAATGAATTGAAATTACTTTATTTCCCAGAAAGGCATATTTTTAAGTTCTTCAGTCTTTTAGGAGCCTTTTTCTAAATCCTGTCGTATTTCAGCAGAATGATGAAAAAAGTAGGGGAGTAGAATCAATACTGCTGACAATGTGGTCAAGTTTTGTAAGTGGTAGTAATGATTTTTTTTCTAGATGCTTCAATGAAAGTTTTAGCGGAATTGAGGTTAGATTCCTTGAGGGAAAAACCTGTAAAAGCATGTCTGTAGTTAGATCCTCCTGCCCAAACTGCCTTAATATGTGTGCATGATCTCTTCTCTTCTCCACTAGCCTAAGATTAGTTGAGCAATTAGTGTGGGTAACTGTAGGGACCCAGACAGTCTGGCTCACCAATTCTGTTTCACTGTAACGAATATTAATGTGTGTATTTCTGCTAGGTAAGAGAGTCTGTCTCTAAGAAAGTCTCTCCAGAGGAAGCTATTGAAATGAAATTGCTGGAAAAAGACAAAGAAGGAGTAGTGAACTCGCAGCTGCAGTGGCAGCTTAATCTTTTAGCTCACGTGGAATCTCTGCAAGATGAAGTCATACACAGAATGGATTTCATTGAGAAGGAGCTAGATGGTAGGTAGCACTTTTCTATTTCAAAAATTAACTGTATTTAACTGAACTACCTGTTCAAAACTTGTTAATTTGAATTTATTTCTGCAGACCTACAAAGAGATAAGCGTTGCTTTGTCAGATTTACTGCATTCACTAACAGAAAACAGACATGCTGCTGATGTTGGAGGGGGCGGATTTAAAAACAGAGATCAAATTAAACTGAGTAGAATTTTATAGAAGAAGTTCTAGTGAGAACATGTCTAAATACTTGCATCAGATGATGTAGTGGAATATCTTCCATGTCTTTTTGCTTTCATCTTTTTGTCATTTTCCATAGCTCTTCTGTGTATCTGAACTCCCCTCTTTTTCAGGGGCTTGCTGGCTGTGTTAGCCTATTCTGGGTGGCCTCTTTGGTGCACAAAGCTCTTGTCTTTTCCTGTCTCCTCCAAATTTTTTATTTAAATGTCTCTTGAAATTTGTTTTCCTACTAACAGAAAAACTTCTAAACCCTTTGTGTTACATTAAACAATTCAGGATAGTTCTTCTTAACGTTTTTAAGTCTGACCGTTGGTTGTGTAGTGGTTACAACAGCAGCTTTTCTTGCAAGTGTATTGTGAATCTGACCTGTGCAAAGTAAGAGTCCTCTCTTTGTGGTTTGGTAAGGTACTGAAAAATTGAACAACTGAAGGAATATTTCAGGTAATGAAGATCAGTCAGGCCTGTAGTCATAATGCCTATTTCATAAATGAAGACGCTCTGGTTTGCAAAAGTCAGGCTTCTTGTGTCTGCTGTTGAGCTGGAGGGCTGCGCAGAGCTTTGGTACTCTGATCAGGGATTTTCTTATTTCAAGGCTGGATGTATCAGTAGTTGGGTGATGCCCACCACTTCTTCAGCAGATACTGCCCTTAGGTGGAACTAGCCTGTTGATCTAGTTAGTGGTGATGGCCTCTGCTGCTTCTCTTCACACAGAATCACAGAATGGTTGGCAGATATGTTCTGTCTTAGTCATTTCAGTCTCCTTTGGCAGTACTGTCCTTTCCCCTGAACTCATCATAGTGCAGTCTGACCACCTTTCTCGTGGTCTTATTACATTTTCACCTTAGTTGTCTCTTGGTCAGTATTATTTCTGTTTTTTGTTTCCTGCTGAGAAGCTTTAGAGCAGGAATTCATTTTCTTTGTGCACTAGTCTGCTGTTTGTGCTTTTGGATTTCATCTCCGTTTTCTGTTACCCAGTTCTTCTGTCTCTTGGGCAATTGTATTCTGTAACGGCAAGCTGCTTCCATTAGTGTAGTCCTACCGTTACAGGCTCTTCAGTTGCATCTAATGGTGATCTTAAGGGTATTCTGATGGTATAAACTTCCTGTACCACAGTGTCCTTCCTCTGATCTGTATCAATTCCAGAGCAAGCTTAGCACCAAATTTCACAATATCTAGTCCTGAGTTTTCCTTGCTTTCCTTCTCCTAGGAACACCTGTTTGGGTGGGGGTTTTGTTTTTTTTTTCTCTTCTCCCCCCCAGTGAATTATTTTGCTATGTATCAAAGGCTATTTGCAAAGTTTGGTGTGAGGACCCTGGTTGTCTGATTTCTCAAATACTGTGTGTTAAAAACACTGCACTCTCAAGATTCACAAAAGATTTAAAGAATTCCTGTTTTGTCACTTAAGGTGATCTGTTTGCTGAGAACGGGAATAGTGACAGTTCTGTTTTTCTTTGCAGTTTTGGAGAGTTGGCTGGATTATACAGGAGAGCTGGAACCACCAGAACCACTAGCACGACTCCCACAGCTCAAACATTGTATAAAGCAGCTTATAACGGACCTGGGCAAAGTGCAGCAAATTGCACTTTGCTGCTCAACGTGAGACTAGAAAATGTTGGAGACTGTTACTGAGTGTGAAGTTGGAGCATCTGATGTGAACAGCTCTGTATATTTAAATGAATTAGCATGCTGGTTGCATGGGATGCAGATTGACTTCAGGGATTCGTGAAGAAGTACTGTTCAAAGAACAGCAAAAAAGTTATTTTATCTCATAATAATTTGGGGTTTATTAGGCAATTATAACAATATGGAAGAGGTGATACTGTTGTCTTCAGAGGTTGGGTGTTGGTTCATAAATTATACTTAAATTTTCACTCCTTACAAGTTGCTCATTGAAATGGTAGACTTTTTCATAATTAAATTGACTAAAAATTGTGCCACTGAAGAACAGAGTTCTAAGAGCCAAAAATGTTTAGTTGACAGAGGTTGTAAATAACTTTGCATAGATTAAGTGACTTGTGTCATGTTCTATTCCTTCTGGTTTATGCACACAGTATTTAATCATTAGGAAATGTTATAACAGTTTTCAGACTTAGTGAGTATGAATGTCCAGCTCTTAACTATAAAGTGTTATATGGAGGTTTGCAAGTAACAGTGGCCTAAACCCCACTTCTCTTATGTTAAATAATGTAGCAGAAGGTCACAGGTGGATTGCACTTATTTTCAGAATAAATGATTGTTTTCCATATTTATCTTGTCACTATCACATGACTCGGTACTGGGGAAACCCGTTGACATTGTGTTTATGTGCATTCTTGAGCTCTTAAATATGGCCATCCTGTGCCTCCTGAAGCAGTGGTAGTGGGACACCCTTGTTGTGGCAGTATGAAATACCGCCGGGAAGAGACTGGAGATGCGCTCGGAGTTCCAAACTTCAGCAAGGTCTGTAATGTACGTTATGTAGTTTTCTATCCATTTGTTAATAATTGCCATTCCGGTTATATTTTGAAGTGTAGACTTTTTTCAATACTCTGAACGTGTTTATTGTTAAGACTTACTATGAATGTGTGGTTTTGGGAATCAGTTTATTTTATATTTGTGTAAATAAAGCCTCAAGATCTATGCATGAGGTGCTGTCCTCACAGACAGTGAGTGGGTTATTATCTCAAACGGTGTATGTTCACAAAGTCCCTTTTTATACCTTAATTTTCTCATTTGTATTACTTTGTGAGAGCAAGGTGAAAATGCTGCTTATGTTCAAGTCACATTATACAGTACCTTTTGAAATGTTGGTGTATTGTAAGTATTTAAAACGTTAAAAGTCTTTCAGCTACAGATCATAGCTCCATAAATAATTGCTGTGACTTTAGGTTTTCCTTCCCAAATGTTGCTGAGTGAAGTTCACTGTCGAAAATGCTAAGCAGTTTTTGCAGTGAGAGGGTGTCCTTAAAAAGCTGTATTTGTTCCCTTGATTTTATTGTGTGTGATGTTACCACCAAAGCGTAAAATTTAAGCACAGTTGTAATTGCACGGCCCGTAACTGTACAAATTATTAATTTGGGATATGAATCTGTAATGTTTGTATACTGCAAAGAATAACGTAAACTTGAAATATCCAATGTTATTGTAGGAGTTAAGGGTATCTACACAGTGAATATTTTATTTCCTTCAGAAAACAAAATAATTAGGCTACACTAGTTAGTAACTAAGGCTTTTGTGCCAAGACTCATTTCAGGGAATAATTTGTCTCACAGTTTTATAGTACTAGTTTGTATGTAGTGAATAGAACATATGTACAGCAGAAAAATAAACTTATTTTTCTGTAACACGATTGGCATAAAGCTTACATGATACTTAGGAATCACTTCGCTCTCTGAAGATGAGACCAATGCTTATACCTTGTCTCATTCCTGTTAATGGCACCTGAATTCACATATGCCATGTAGCTCTAGAACAGGCAGCAGTAACCAGACAACCAGAGCAGCATCAGAAGGAGCACCCCAGACAACTGTGAAGGTTTTGAGGTTTTTTCAGGTGAGATCAACCAGGTGTTCCCTAGTTGAAATCTGTAAAGCAAGCGCTCCAACTGGGCGTCTCTCGAGAAGAACATAGCTGGGTTGTCAGTTTGAGGGCATGAAAGCAGTTAAATCCCTGAGCAGACTTTTCACTCCAGAGTGGAACTTCTCCCTCCCAAGCAATTGCTTTTCATGTGTTCGTTGTACGTTTTTACTTTGCCAGTTTATTTTTGCTCAGGGCAGTACTTTAAGGTTTGGAAAAAAAGGTGGTTCCGATGAGTGAATCAAATGGCAAATACTGGAGACTTGTTTTCCTTTTGTAGAGCTAGGGAAGCCCTTGAATAAAGACTGAAAATATTTATTTAAAATAGAGTAGTGTTTCCAAGTTCAGGAAAGATTCTTTATTGTGCTCTGCCTGGATTCATTTTTGTCCCTGTTTTTGCAAGTTTCCACATTGTTATTTCTTAGTCTGGACCAGCTGTTCAGTCTGGCAGGTCACTTTTTTTATTTCTTTAAATCACTGGTAAGTGAATGCAACGTGGAGCCTTGATGAAATGAGCAAACATTGCACTGTGGATACATGAGTATATTTGTCTTTGTTTATGCACTATTAGAACTGAGGGCGCTGTATATAGAATTTTGCTTTGGAGCAATATTTGCAAAACTTGAAAACTTCTGTATCTTGGTGTTTGGAATAAATAAATAGGTTTTTGCTGGTTAAGTCTTAGTAAAGTCTTTGTTTCAATTGATTGTTCAATAAAATAATTTTGGACTTTTTTTCTTCACACAGAATTGAAATGCAGGTACTGTTGTTGGACAGGAATATAGATCTTAACTGTTCTTAAAATATGGAAAAGATTATTTTCCAGATCTGTCTCTATTGAGGTTTGGCCTCAGCCGGCAACAAAGAACTCACTCAACCCCCAGAGCCGTGGGGGAAAATTGGAAGAAAGGCAAAACTTGTGGGTTGAGATAAAGGCAGTTTAAGAGAACAGCAAAGGAAAGAGAAAAAACAACAACAATAACACCGATAGAGGAATGTACAAATGCGATTATGGTACCAGTGCTCACCCACCGGACCCGGCCCGCCCCAGCCCACTCCCCCAGCCAGCTCCCCATATAGACCGGGCATGGCTCCAGTGGTATGGAATACCTGCAGGGGATATCCTCATAGTCTATGGGCCTTCCCTCTGAAATGTCTATTGAGTTCATTTAGTCCATGACTTTGGGCTCCATCTGTGAGAACGGTTTCTCGGGGCAGGTGAGATGGTTTGTGAGCTTGTGGCTGGTATACCTGGTGAGGCTCATGCCTACAGTTGACGGGCTGAAGGTGTCAATCTCGAGCCAGCTGCTGAGGTCAGTTCTGGTCCCATCACTGCTGCTCAGTCTCATCAAAGTTCATCTGTCATGGTTTCTCGGGGCAGGTGAGATGGTTTGTGAGCTTGTGGCTGGTATACCTGGTGAGGCTCATGCCTACAGTTGACGGGCTGAAGGTGTCAATCTCGAGCCAGCTGCTGAGGTCAGTTCTGGTCCCATCACTGCTGCTCAGTCTCATCAAAGTTCATCTGTCATTGGTTTGGGTGATTCTTTGGTGTGATATAATCAATCTGCCAGGCCTCCCCATAGGTATATTTTAGCCATCGTCCTCCATACCAAAGGGGCTTTAACCGCTTGGCTTGCTTAATTGCAGCACACGTTTCACATTTGTGAATAACCTGTGCAATAGTGTCCATGGTCAAGTCCACCCCTCGGTGACGAGCCCATCTGTATGTCGCATCTCTCCCTTGATGGCCTGAGGCGTCATGGGCCCACCGAGCTATGAATAATTCGCCCTTATGCTGCCAGTCCAAATCCACCTCAGCCACTTCAATCTTAGCAGCCTGCTGGTTGTTTTGATGTTCCTCAGTGGCTTGACTCTTTGGGACATGGGCATCTAAATGACGTACTTTCACAACCAGGGTCTCTATCCAGGCAGCAATTTTTCTTCTGCAACTTGTTGTGTGGGACTTCACACAGCAGCCTTCCATTTTTGATGCTTTCCCACAATCAGTGAACAGGGCATCTTTCTTCTAATTTTCTGGTAGTTTATTATATGGTGGGGCCTCTTCCGCGCATGTCACTTCCTCCTCTGGTGATATTCTGAAATCTTTGCCCTCTGGCCAATCCATGATCACTTCCAGTATTCCTGGGCGACTGGGATTTCCCATTTGAGTTCGCTGTGTGATCAGTGCAATCCAAATACTCCACGTAGCATCAGTTGCATGGTGTGTGGCAGGGACCCTTTCTTTGAACATCCAGCCCAGCATGGGCAGTCGAGGTGCCAAGAGGAGCTGTGCTTCACTACCAACCACTTCCGAAGCAGCTCGGACACCCTCGTATGCTGCCAGTGTCTTTTTCAGTTAGAGTATAGCGGGCTTTGGATTCTCTCTGTCCCCAACTCTAAAACCCCAGGGGTCAACCTTGAGTCTCCCCTCAGTGCGGTTGCTTGCCAACTGGACCCGCACAGCCCCAGCCCACTCCACCCCCTCCCCGCCAGCTCCCCCTATAGCCCAGTCGTGGCTCATGGTATGGAATACCTGTGTCCCCTGTCCCTCCTTGGGGAAATTAACCCCATTCCTGCCGGAACCAGGACAATCTCATGTAAGTACTCTTAATAGGTAAACTGTTATGTATTTGTTGTTTGTTGAAAATTGTTTTAGTGAGAAGCTTGTACATTTTATTCCCAAATCCTAATTTATGTAATATATTAGCACCTAGTATATGAAATCTGACCCTAATTTTTGTGCCTATTTCAACGAACAGCCTGCTGAGCACGTGGCAGCGTCGATGAGAGAGGGGAAGCTGGCTCATCCCTCCCGTCACAAAGGACTTGAGTGTTGTGGGTCGGAAGCTGCTGTAACCAGAACAGCACAGCACTGTAGCACCTGGAAGCATGTGTATGTGGCGAGTGTGAAGCCAGGCTGCTTATTGCAGGAGCGCAGGCACCTGAAGGCATAGCTTCCCTGCAGGGTTCCCAAGGCCAGGTGGATTAGGCCAAGTGCTGTCAGCTGTACAGTGCAAACAACATAGAGAAAAATATGTAATTTCTATAGCATTTTTAGGTGGAAATGTGTTTTGCTCACATGGCAGCAGGCCAGCAGTTGAGTTTCAGGTAGGTTTGGGAGGGTTGAGCTAGAAGGGAACACCACGTGGGTGCTGCACCCGTGAAGTTCTGAGAGCTGCTGTCGTCTGCTGGGCAGCAGCAGCAGCTCGGTGTAGAAGCTGCGTGTTTGCTGTGTGAGAGAGTGCTGCTTTAGCACTAACGCCACAGCAGGAGCTTTTGATGTATTTGAACAACCCACGCAGAGAAAATGCATAGGCACGGGGAGGGGAGAGGCTGGGAAGTGCTGGAGAGAAAGCGCACCTGGCACAGGCTGTGCCTGAGGGCAGGGCAGGCGTCCAGGGGCCTTCAGGTGCATTTCTGGTTCCAACTCTTCCCTGCTCAATTTCCCCAGCAGGAGGAAAATAAGTTTATTCCCTTGTCCTAACAAATTTGCCTTCCTAATTTTGTTCTCAAAACAAGTTTCCCATAAAAGTCCTGGATTTTAAGCCTAGAGGGTGCAGCGCTCTGATGGAGCCTGGCTTGTGAAGCCTGGGGAAACCTCTCCAGGCATGTGTTTCATGGTTCAATCAAATCACGTACGTCTTTGCTGATCGCTTAAATGTCAAAATGAGGTTTTGAAGATGTGATCTGAATTCGAAGTCATTCCATGAAATGGGTGCTGTGGCTAGCTGTGTTTCTGGGAATGTGTGCCCTCTCTCTCTCTTTTTTTTTTTTTTTTTTTTTTTTTTTAAGACTTGCTTGATCTTAAGAGTCTTGTAGGGGTGGACTCGCACCAGGGGACAGTTGCCAATTCATCTGTCAGCCTTTGTGTGGGTACATTCACCTTGAACTCATAAGAAATCTGACACAACCATTCTAATATTCTTACTGTTATTTGAAGAAAGTATCATCTCTTCTAATTACATGATCTACTGTTGATATTGTCCAGACCACGGATCTCCTTCATGCTCATCTTGATGCTAGAGTACCATCCCTGCTGCTGCAGTGCTGGTATTTTGTCACACCGTGAAAGTGTTCGTGACTGGTACTTGGGCTGGTTTTTCCAGTGCTGTTGCTCAGCAGCTCAAACTGTTACAGTTGTTCTGAAGAGTATTTTGTATCTTTGTACTAATCCTTCAGTATTTGCATAACAACTCTCTTGCGAAGGGGAAAAAATCACGTCTGGTTAATACCTGCCACAGCTAACCAGAAAAAGTCCATGTTCAAAGAGGCGGGTAGTTAAAAACAGAAAATACCAGTTTTTTTCCTATGAGAACACACATGTGGACAGCAGAACAACAAAACAACAAAAAGGCTGGAATTTACCATGTTCTGCCTGCAGGGTGTTTCTGCTGGTGGTGTTTGTGTACCATAGAGGTGTTCGGTCAGTAAAGGCTCAATGATGCCAGTCTTAGTTTAACACTCCACACCAAGTTTGTAAGGATGGCGTGGGCCCCGTTTCCAGTCATTTAGGGATGTTGGGTGCATTGGGCTCAGGAGGAGTTGTGTGCACCTCCTGAACTTTCAGACTCTGGTGGTTTTAGGTTATGCAGATTGGGTATCTACACTGTTGCAAGGAACACCAAGGGAAGGACTGGCCAATGAAGTGGTGGGTTTCCATCCGTACCCTCATGTGTCAGTTGGAGTAATGGTTTGCTGAATGCCACACTGAATCTAGGCTCCAGCAACACCTATGTCCTTTGAACAGAGGTCCAAAGCTACTGTAGATACTTTGGCTATTTTGCAGCTTCTCTAAAGAAGTCCCTTTGATCCCTGCCAATGCTAGGTGGCTGCTCTTGTGAAAGAGGTGCTCACACACCAGGTGGGCAGAGCACAGGCAAGGTTGCACATCTGGATGTCACTAAGTACCTGTCACTTCAGAGGAGGTCAGTGACAAAGCTCTCAGAGGTCAGTGCTGTCCACAGTATGGCTGATCTGGCCAAAGTGCCCATGGCTCTGCAAGCTCAGTGTGCCTTCAATGCACAGCGGAGAGCACCTGAGAAGCTCCTCTTCCCACGAGCATCCTGGGCACTGAGCGCACCTCTGGTGAGGACAGCCAGCAGCCCTTGTCCTCGCTGAGTCTCCATGGCCACCCACCCTTGGGTGGCTGAGGCAGCTAGGAGCTCCTCTGGTGCCGGTGGGTCTCCTCAGGGCTTATTCTGTCCCTTCACAGCCTTCAGCATCCCAGTGCAGCGGCCCTGCAGCCCCTTGCCTCTGCCCTCCCCAGCCTGGGGCAAGAGCTGCTGCTGGGAGGAGATGCTGGGACCTGCTCTCTGCCTCTTCCACTCCTTAAAGACCTGTTTTGGCATCTGGCTTTGTGCTGGTGATGTTCACGGTGGTTCAGCATGGGGAAGCACCGTGGGATCCCCCAGCAGCAGCCGCTGGTCTGGGGGTCTCTGAAGATGTTCCCCAGCACGAGCGAAGTGTGGGGCGGCTGTGGGGCTGGGAAGGAGGAGGGCTCGGCCAGCTCAGGCGCTGCCAGCGTTGGGGAAGGATTCGCATAGGCTTTCCTACCAGGTATTTCCTGTCTTCCCAGTCGCTACCATACAAGCATCAGAGAAGCAGTTTCTTGAGTGTGGCTGCCTCCAAGTCTGAGGTAGAACCATCACTGGTGTAAAAGCATCCAACAAGCTGGGTCCAGGTTGGAGGCGGAGGAAGGAGGCGCGAGGGCTGTCACACCCTCCCCTTCATTCACACAGTGTGCGTTGGTGGCAAAACTAGAGGAAGCAAAACCCTCTGGGCTGCCCCGGGGGTGAGAGCAGCCAGCTCAGCTGGCTGTGGGGCAAGGTCAAGGTGAGGGACAATCCCTGACCTGAAAAGACATCGGGGCTCAAGGCTGGTGGCTGAGCAGGTGTGTAAGGCTCTGGGCTGCTGCGTGGAAGGGAATGAGAACACGACAGTGGGTTTGCAAAAGCAAGCTCGTCAGACATGGACATGAAGAGGAGGTTGGAGCGTGTCAGAGGCAGGAACCCTGCAGCTGCGGGGGCTCCTGCTGCACCAGCTTCTGGGCGTGAGGAAAGGAAGGAAGGGATGTCAGCAAGCAGCAAAATTGCTTCTGCAGTGGTTCTCACCACAGAGGAAGCCTTGGGCCGTTTACCCAGGCTGTGTTTTGCTGATAAGGGGGCTGTTCAAAGCAAAGGCTCAGGTGTGTTGCTGTTCTGAGGCACTTCTGCTGCTTTTAAGGCCCCCTCTTGCCCAGAAGCATAGCTTAGATCAGGGTTGGACACGAGTAGTTGCATTCTGCCTTTTTGGATCATCTAGTCCTGGCATGGACCCATTTCTTTCCCCATTGCTCCTAAAACAGCAGTTGTGATGTTAAACTTTTCTAAACCTCCAGGGCTTGTTAATTTGCCCTAAGTGAGTTGGCCGAGGACCAGACATGACCTGTGGCCATCGGCTCATCCCAGGTCAGGGAAAGCCATCGGCAGGGCCAGGGGCAATGGCTGTGTGTGGAATGATTACTAAAAATGATCGCTAATACAGCATTGGTCACACGTTAAGGAAAGGTAAGGAGCGAACCCCCCCCAGGCTGCGGCAGAGAGAAACCTGCCCTGTGGTTATAGCTGGCAGTTCACAATTTATTCACAAACCCTCAACTGTGAATGAGATGTTCTTTAATTAAGACACTATAAATGGTTATTGCCGTGTGTCCAGCAGGATACTGTTTTATGGACCTTAAATCCAGTACAATCCATGTGTTGAAAGGTTTAAAGATCAGCTACTTTGAGTGCAGTAAGAGGCTGGTTTCCTCCTGGCCTCTGCTCTGCCGGTCCCGACGAGCAGAGGGGCGAGTTATGGGCGGGTGAGAGCCCTGTCCTGCACAGCCACCCCACCCCAAAAAAGTTTGTGCATCAACTTGAGGGGTCTGGTGGGGTCGGGGTGTTCCCTCATCTGGGCCAGGCTTTGGCTCGTTGGGCCTTTGCATCCCCTTTCCCTGCTGCCGTGGGGACATAGTGGGGCAGGCAGGGCACCTTCTGTGTGCAGCCTCTGCCTTCTCCTCCCGTGGGTGCTGGGTGATGTTTGGGGTGCTCAAAGCACCCGCCTCTGGGGAGGATGGGCCCTGGGGCAGCCCCTTCCTCCAGCATCGGTGCCCGCTGTCCCCACCTTGGTCTCAGCTGGCCCGTGTCCAGGCCAACAGCCCCGGGGCGCACGGCTCCCGCAGCACCTTTGTGGCTGAAACCAGGAGAACGCTGTAACAAGGGCCGGGTGTCCGCTGTGGGGCTGTGGCCAAATGGGGGCCTGCCCTCAGCTGCTCTTCGCCCCCTTCCCCGCAGGCCCGGGGGCGGCTGTCTCCGTCAGGAGGAGGTAGGAGCTGATGGCTTCCCTCAGGCCCAGGCTGATGGGAGAGTCCTCTGGTGGGGACGCGGCCTCTGAGAACAGGAGGGAGCTGTGGGAGGGCGGATGGGACAGTCAGTGGGCAGCCCCCAGGCCCCCTGAGGGTCTGGCAGGGGCGGTGGGGGGAGTCCCAGACCCTTCCCCGGCCATCCCTACCTGTCGATCTTGTCCCAGTTGAGTGATGGCTTCTTCACGACATCAGGCATGGCAGGGACTGGGGCCACCCTCGCCCCTTCCATGGAGCAGGGCTCCCTGAGGGGGCAGCACAGCCCCTCTCCGAACTCTAGGCAGGGAGCCAGCAGCGTCAGCAGGGAGCCCCCCACCTGCACCCCAACCCTGGGGGCAGCTGGGCAAGTGGGGGACCAGCTGCCACCTTTCCCCACTCCCTCCCTGCAGGGTGCAGAGCATCCCCCCGCCCAGACTGGGGGTGCTGGGGGGCTGGTGGGACGTTACCAGAGTAGTGGTCCACCAGGTCATGCAGGCTGGGGAAGGTGAGGCGGGGGGAGATGTAGAGCCAGCCGTTCTCCAGGTGGTGGATGCGGTAGTGTGTCACTGAGTCCCATGAGGCACGCTCGCTGTGGCGCACTGACAGTGAGTAGCAGCCTGCCAGGGTGAGGGGCAGGTGGCTGGGCTGCCATGGCACTCACCCGCTCAGCCCCACTGCCCCGTGCTCTCCCACATCGGGGATTTTATCGCCCCATGGGAGTGGCCAGCAGCACCTGTCTCCCCACAGGGCTGTGCAGCCGCAAGCATCCCCGTGCCAGCCCCATGCCATGAGCACCTCCAAACTGGGGACTGTGGAAGTGCTGGGACATGGGATGAGCCCAGGTAGTGCCTGCCATGTCCCACGTGCCCTCAGCATAGGGTGCTGTGGCTCTGTGCCTGAGTCTCCAATTTTGAGTGCTGTGCAGGGATGAGACAGCCCCAGCCCCATGGCCCCTCAGTGCCCAGGCCACCACAGGGCCATGCAGCACCGTGCCGGTGCATCAGCCGTGCACACTGGGGCACCCAGTGGTGTTGCCTCGGCACATCATCAGGATGGGGGCCCCGTTTCATTTCAGAGGCTGAACCTTTTTACATCTCTGCTTAACCAAAAGCTGCAGGAAGCCTGCTGGTGTTTTTTTCTTTTGGGGCCCCAAGATAGAGGCTCAGCACGCAGCAGGGAGCAGTGGCACCAGGAAACCACTGCTCAGGGCGGGCTGTTGCCACCAGGTGCGAGCGATGAAGGACCAGCCCCACTGAGGCCCCACTCGGCACCCCAGTGGGGATGGCTGGGAGGGGGTACAGGAGATGGGGCCCGAGGGCTCTCACCTTGCCTGGTCTGGCTCTCCCTTATCAGGAAGGACCCGCTGCGGTTGCCTGGCTGGAGCAGCAGCTCCTCCGCTTTCTGCCGGCTGATGCCCTCGTACAACCACCTGTGCAGGCAGCCGGCGCTGGGTGAGCACTCTCCGGGCTGCACAGGGAGACCCAGCACCCCAGGGTCTGTCCTGCCCCAGCCGGGGCAGAGGGGACAGCTCGGGGTGCAGCAGCACATGTCCTGGGGACACCCCAGCATGCTGCACTGCCTCCCCGAGCTCCAGTGCTGCTCCATGGCCCAGGGAGAGAAATGGGGCAGGATGCCCCAGCATGGTGGCTGGAGTTTGGCCTCGGGGCTGGCCTGGCTCTGTGGTGGGGCCATGTCCTCTTGGCCCCACCCTGGGACAGACCCTTCCCAGCATTTACCTGTGCCTGACCTTGGCCACGCAGCTGCTGGGGACATGACACTCCTTGCCAGACACCTCAGACACCACCAGCCACCACTCCCCATCCCTGCAGGGAAGGGGGAGAAATCATCCTGAGGGGCCGAGGCTGCCGGGCACAGGGAGGAGACCCCCAGGATGGGTGCCGCCATCATGGCCCTGTGGGCTGCACAGGGGTGCCCGTCCTGTGCGGGGACTTACTCAGAGAGTACGCGGAGCTGCTCCCCCATCCTCAGGACAACGGCTGCCCCCGTGCCAGAGGGGAAGTCGCAGAGGGCCAAGAAGCTGCTGGGGGCTGAGGGGAATGTGAGCTGGCTCAGAGCTCCCCCAGCACCAGCCAGCACCAGCTGGGGCAGAAGGATGCGCACACCAGGGGCTGATGGCCAAGCTGGCAGCTGCCAGGCACTTACCTGCCTGTGTAGGCAGCGGGGGCTGCATGGAGTCAGCAACCCCTGGCAGGATGCTGAGCGGCTTCTCCCGGCTGGGCAGGCTCCCCATCCCTGGGGTTCAGCGGGGGCCTTTGGCCCCTGGCCTCAGCTGCCAGCTGGGAGGGAAGGAGACGCTCATGCCTGGTGCCAGCAGCACCATGGGCCCAGGGCAGGGGAACTGGTCCCCTGTGGAGCCCCGAGCCCTGTGGCATGGCCGTGTTGGGATGCAGGCCCATGGGTCACAGGGCAGGGCATTGCTACCGGCTGATGCTGGCATGGTGGCTCCCCAGAAAGTCAAGGCCAGGGCAGGGCTCTGGGCTGGGGCTGAGCCTGGCAGCAGCTCCCCAGGGAGCTCTCTGAGGAAACTACCTCCTGACTCCGGAGGGCATATGGGGACTTGCAGCCCCAGCTGGGGTGACCTGGGGGTCCTCCCTGGATGGGGCAGCCACATCCCCATGGTTGCCCCATGTCCCTGGCTATGCTCAGTGCTGCCAGCCCACCCCAGTCCAGTGTCCCCTGGTGTGTGGGCCACCCTGTCCCAATGCCCCAAGCTGCTGGTCCCCACGGGGAGCTCAGTGGCTACGGGGATACCCCTCTGCCTGTTTCGGTTCATCAGCCTTGGAGACATGCAGCCAAAGCTGTGCGTGACCCACACCCACCCCTGGCTGAGCTCTCCCCCTGCTCCCCAGCCAGCTGCTGCCCTCAGCAGGGTCGAACCCCACTCACCTGCCTCTCGCTGCTTTCACCACTGTGCGGGAGCCATCCAGGCAGATAACAGCTGGGCTCTGCCCTGTGGGGTGCTCCTCCAGCACGGTGGGTCCTCAGGGCACCCAGGCTGCAGGGGTCCCTCTGGCGCAGGGAGTCTTCCTCGTGCAGGGCAACCCCTCACAAGACCCGCTTGGTTCGCCCCCGTCCCTCTGCTCTAGAGCTGGGTGTTTTCAGGTGCTGGAGCTGGGGCTGCTCCCGGCAGTGCTGCCGGCGAGGGGTGCGAGGCCGGAGCTGGGGCTGTGGGCTGCCACTGCTTCCTGTGACGTTCCCCTGCACCAGAGTGGGGTTTTCTCTTTTTCACTCAGCCAACAGGTTGCTCAGCTGTGTCCCTCAGGGACCTCAGTATGGGGGACAAGGCCTATGAAAATCCCTGGGGGCACTCAAGGTGTTATGGTCATCACATAGGATTTGGGGGTGAGAAAGAGGGAGGGAAGGGTGGCCCGTGCACAGGAGCAGAGCTGGCTGCAGGACTCAGCGGTTGAGGCTGGACGAGCCCCGTCCCCAGCCAGGACAAGCCATGGGGGGGCGCAGGGTGCCTCCTCCATGCGATGGCCGCAGCAGCAGGGCCAAGCACGGCCCCCAGGACAGCGTGTGGTGCTGGGTGGGACACCGCATGGGTGTCCCCCGGCACAACACTGCTCCACACCCAGCATGGCCAAGCACAGCCCTGCCTGTGCCAGGCTGGGTTACGTCTGGGGCAGCCCCACATCGGGCCCATCCCCAGCCTCACCCAAGCCCCTTCCAGCACCGGCCCCGCTGCTGCCCCCTCCCCGCCTCGAGGAAAGCCCTTGGGGTTTGCTCCCGGCAACTTTTGTGCCGCCATCCTGGGGTGGCACCAGCCATGCCGTGCTGGCTGGGCCGCCATGGCTGCTCGGCCACGCTGCTGCGGCTGAACATCCTGCTACTGTTTACACTGTGCGCTTGAAACTTTCTGGTCACTTGAAAACCACCATGACGGTGTGAAGTCATGGTGCTTACAAAAGCAGCTGCCCACTGGGGCTGTGTGCGGCTGTTGGGGTTCAGGGCCCCACGAGCCTGCTCTGAGCTCGGACGCTGCTGGCTTGAAAGGGTTCATTATATTTGGGAGACGATTCATTTGCTCCTGGAACTGGTGTTGAAGCCCCACTGGGGTCCCCGCGGATGTGGGGTGCCATGACCTGTCCCAAATGTGGCTCAGCTCTCCCCAGCCCAGCACTGCGCTGCCCAGCACCGTCCTGGGTTTGCGCTGAGAATAAAATGGGACCCCAGTTGTCATTCGCCCCCCCACACACCTGGACAGTGGGGCTGGGCAAAGGGGCTTTGTCTTAACGCATGGGTGGGAATGTGGCACACAAGGCCATGGGTTCCTCTGGCCACAAGATGCTCCCAGGAGCCATGCCTACCCCCCGCCAGGCAGCCCCATGCCATGAGCGGGCAGGGGCAGCAGTGACACCAATGGAGAGGGACAAGGCTCCAAGCAAAGCAAGCCACAGCACCCATCCCAGCAGGGTGTTTCAGGCGTTAAGATCAAATAATGGATGTTTTGGGGGGAAGGGCCCTGAGGGCCCCAGTCCTGCTCCCTCATCAATGCGTGACTGACACGAGCTACCCAGCTGTGGCTCCGTCCTGAAAATCTCCAAGGCTGCACATCCTTCCCCATCTTTCATCCCACCCTGCTGGCTTAAAAAGGGGGAAAGATCCCAGTATCAGTTCTGAGCCTCCCAAACCACAATGTTTGGCTGTTAGTCCTCACAGCATCATCTGGCACGGCCAAGAAAAGTTTGGGTCCATCAGCTTTCACCAAGGAGCATGTCCAGTTGTGAGTGCGCAGCCACGGCTGCAGCTGGGCCACAGCGCTGGGTCAGCAGAGCGAAGCTGCTGTCTCGCAAGGACTGTGGTTTTCTGGGTGACGTACAGCACCTTCCAGCACAAGTGGCACCGCAGCCAAGCAGCTGCCTGGCAGAAACTTCAGCCCATGGCTGTGAGAATGTTTTTCCATCGGTGACCCCAGAGAAACCTTCAGCAGAACTGAGCTCCTCGAGGACAGAGTCTAACCTCCATGCTGCCCCTCGAGGTGTGGAAATGCACAGCCGTGTCCCCCCAGCCAGTGGGTGTCCAGCTCCCACCCCAGCAGCCAGCGGGGCCAGCGTGGTGGGGTTTGGGGATCCCAGCCCAGGTAAGCCTGGCCCGAGCTCAAGCTCTGTTCCTGTATTTGGTTGGCATTGCTCTTGCCACCCAAAGAAACATTTTGCCCTTTTTAAAACTCATTTCTCAACTTGTATTTAGCTTTGATTTTTGTATTTTTACCAGGAAAAGCACTTGCTTATGTGAAAATAAATTCACTTTTTCCAGTTATGCTTGGGGTAATAAAATGTATGACAACCCTCACTACAAATCCTGCCTTGCTTACACCTATGAACCACCATGGCAACAAAATTCTCTTCTTCATCACCCTTCTTCCAAATTGCTAAAAAATCTCATCTATTCACTCTCCTGGGTTCCTTGTGCATGGGCAGCCTGTAGCTCTGAGCTCTCCTGCTCCACATCATCATGAACAGCACTGGGTGAGCTCGCACCCTCCCCTGCTGTGGTATTATTTCCTCTAACTCATTTCATTGTCATTTTAATATTGTGTTTGCCTTTCCTTTGGTCTGTTGCTGTATTTTCATAAGGGAACTTGAGGAAGAACCGTTTCTCAGCGTAGTTAACTGACATTAAATCACAGCGCCGCACGTACATCAGCTCTCCTGTGTATGTGGCTTTGCATCCGGCACTTGCATTTAGCAGCGATGGGGTACCTGGTGGCCCCGGGTCTTTGAAACTCTCCTATCTTCTGCAGACTCAAACCTATATTTTTGTTCGTTTAATCACTTTGTCACTTCACTACTTGCTCATCAATACAATGGGCCAGTTGCTCCCATTTCTCACCTTTCATTCAGTCTGCGATCCATGAAACCGCTTTGTCTATTTCCCGCACTTTGTCTATTTCCCCCCACAAAGGTCTTCGGACAGTCAAAGCCCGATGCTGCAGGAGTTCGCACCGTGGGCAGGACAGCAAGGCCGGGACTGATCTGTGACCAGAAGTTTAACCCCTCTTCAGTCCCCACGAGCCTTCTGTGAAAGTTAAGATGACAGACAGCTGAAACTTGAGAGCAAAAGCTGGATGTGAAAAGCAGAAGATGCAGAAACGGTTGAGTTAAACGACCGTCTGCTGTGCATTGCTCCACCTGCAGCGGGCTGCAGCGCAGGGGGCAGATGGGCAAACAGACCTCACACTGCCTTCCAAACTGCCCTCGGCCTCCGCGTGTCACGACAACAGCCCTGTCACAGGGTTTACAGGTTAACTTTGTGTCAGACCCATGAAACATGCCCGTGCAGAGTACTGCTCACCAGGGAAGGCAGCTCCTAGCGCTCGCCTGTGTTCGGAGGCAATTCTTGGCGGCAGTTCTCCCTTGTTTTGCAGCAAACCTGTCTTTTAGTCTCCACTCTGTCAAAGCTGGAAGTTTCTTTTTTGCATTTTTGCGGAAGCCAGCTCTGCAGTGCCTTTAGGCAGCCTCTCCCAGGGGACATGGGGACACCTGCCCCTGCTGCTCCTGCACAGCCGCAAGGACACCTCTCGCAGGAGGTGGGCAGTGCTTCCCCTTCCACGGGGAAGAGTTCGCCTCTCACTGCAGGAGACACCAAAACTGACAAAACCAGCAGGGGTGTCGGGTTGAGCCAAGAGACACGACACGAGCACACAGGGTAACAATGAAACTCAGTTATAGCTTTATTTAATAACTGGTACAAAGTCCCCCTCAGGCAGAGCCTCCCAGTCCCATTCCCTACCTGAAATGGAGCAGAACATGAGCGTGACCCTTGGAGGAGCTGGCTCCCAGTGGGTCAGGACTGCTCAACAGTTAAGAAAGAATGTTTTGCTCACCTATTGAGACCTGTAGCAGCCTGACCACTCATCCCTTTTCTCCCATTAACAGCGAGACCCTGGCACGCAGCAGGCATTTGCCTCCTGCCCTCTGTGACCCGGCCAGACGTAAAAGGGCAGCAGAATTGTGAATTCCACGAAGACAGTAAAGACTACCTGCACAGAGGTATTCACTGCTTGCACTTCTGACCTGACTCACACGGATGTGCATCTGCTGGCCGTCATTTACATTCACTGGTATTTCCTGAGCCTCAGTTAATACCCTGTGCAGACACCCTGCCTGGGGCGGGCAGCAGCGGGAAGCAGAGCTGGCAGTGCAGGAGATTTCTGGATCCCCAGACAAGGGACACTGCTGCCCATTTCACAACCTACTCGATGTTAAAGATTCCCCTGTGCCAGGG